TCATGGCCCTTCCACCGAGCTCATGGTGACCACCGAACCTCCGACGGTGACAGTGTTATCGAGTATGAATGTATATGACTTACAAGAACAGAAAGAAACATAAGAGTAGGGGAAGGGCCATAAAAGAAGAGGAAAAGAGAATAATTGTGGAAAGGAAGGAGGAAGGAAGAAGAAAGAAGTATGGAGATATAAGATAGATGAAGAAAGAAAGAAAAAAAATCTTATTTGTGGCCAACTTTCGGAGCTCTGACAGTATGCAAAAAAGGTGGAACAAGGCTTATGAGGGGTGGAACGAAAACTAAGCCATGAAGTGAATACAAAGACAAAACGGGATTACAACAAAGGAGATACAAGTGCTTAAACATGTGTGTTTAAATCTGAAAATTTTCCTAAGAGGGAAAAATCTTATTTTTTTCAACTTTCAGAGTTCCAACGGCACACAAAAAGATGTGGAACAAGGCGAATGAGGCATGGAATGAAAACTAGGCAACGAGGTGAATCCAACGACGCAAAAATGAGGCGAAACAGAATTACGACAAGGGAGATACAAGTATTTAAACATGTGTGCTTGAATCTGAGAATTTTGTTCAGATTCCGTTAATTTAATCAAACGAATATAGACGGAGGGTTCACATTAAAATACGAAAGAAATTCTAGGATTTAATTTATCAAAATTAAAACTATGAAATTTAATTTGAAATTTTTTTTTTTGATGTTTATATTGTTAACTTCTTTGAGAAAATGAAAAAATTGACACAAATTTTCAACAAATAAAAAAAAAAGTTGAATAAGTGGATAGAACTTAGAGAAAAAAAATTGAACAAATAGATAGAATTTAGGAGGAAAAATTGAATAGGTAATCAAAAAATTTAAACAAATAGATAGAATTTAGAAAGAAAAAAAAAATTGAACAGATAAATAGAATTAAGGAGAAAATTTGAACAAATAGGTGTGCATACATCTTTAACCCCAATTAAAATAACATTTTCTTTTCTTTTTTTGGTATTAAAATAAGGGTTTCGGATTTTTGAAATTGTGTTTTTATAATTCAAATATCGTTAATTTGATAAGACTTTCGCAAATTACCCTCAAGATAAACTTAAATAATAAATAATAAATAATAAATAAATTAAATAAATTAAATTATTTCAAATCTTTTCAATAAAGAAAATAATTCTCAAATACAAAAGAAAAATAATAATAATAATGAATCAAACTTATAAGTACATAAGTATTATAAAAACAAAAAAAACAAAACTTTTACGTAAGTATTATAAAACTTTTCAATACAGAAAAAACTAACTTTTACATTATAAATTATTTACAAGAATGCTCGTGAAAAAGTAAAAATCAAATTTATAAGCACATAAACATCAAGAACTAACAAGAAATAGTAGTTTTCAAATAATGTACTATTTAAATAACAAAATAAGAATAATTCTAATCATATGTTATTGTTAATTTAATTACTGGGTATTTTAATTTTTGTCAAAAAACGATACAGAAAATAATTGATGGTGCTTTACAAAAATTGTGAAACCCTTTTATATGAATACTTATCTCCTTTTTGATGAGTTGCTTCAAAAAACTATTTTGATTATTGCTCTCATCCATTTTTTGATTTTGTTCAAATTTTCTTCTAGGGTTTAGGATTTCAAAATAATAAAAAGCAATGATGTTGATGATGATAGTAAGTTTTGATAGGGTGGATTGAAGTTTGGAGGAAGGAAGAAGAAGAAAAAGAAGAAGAAGAAGAAGAAGAAGAAATAATAACTTTGATATCCTACGGAAGAAGATAGAGAGATATTAGGGCGTACCATGAGAAAAAAAATTATTTTGGGATTTAATATATATTGTCCTTATTAATAAATTCATATTAGGATATATTAAGAATTCAAATTTATGAATTTAAATTAGACATATTGAGGGGTGCCTCTATTTACATATCACATTTGGTCTCAAGGTACACCACTAGTCAGTTCACACCTTTAATAATTTAAAAAAACATAATTTTTCTCAACACATATCACAATGTTCCATTTTTGCCCTTAGTCCCATACCACTTAGTACACACCTCAAATTCCAAAAAAAAAAAAAAAAAAAAAACCTAACTGTTAGACACTTACTACCGGTTGCAGCAACCATCACCAGTAACCACAATTAACACCAACCATGGCCATCGCCATCAACCTTTCTTTCTGTCTTTGCAACTGTCGTTGCTCACTTTCTAGTCTCGTAAGTTTCTTTCATTCCCAGAGACCTACCACATCACAGATCACCGCCACTGTCTTCAACCCCTCCTTCTCTCGCGTTTGCCGCTATCTCATTCTCAGCCTCGTCGTCGCCTCCTTTCGTAAATCACCTTCACCGCTATCAATCCCTCTTCTCACTCGCGCGTTGCTGCTGTCCTCTTCCTAGCCTAGTCGCATCTTTCTTCCGTTACCAATCCCGCAACTCACCACCTTGCAGATCGCGAGAATACAGATCGCGCCAAGAGAGAGAGAGAGAGCCGGTGAGGATTTGTGGTGATGCAGATTCACCAAAGCTGGAAAGGGGCAACGAGGCAGCGGTGGCTGCAACAATGGTGGCTAGGGTTAGGGTTTAGATGTTGTGTATTCAACTAACGTGTGTATTGATATTCTTTTGTGGCCATTTTGGTCATTTTAGGTAAGGTATTATTGTAATAAAAAATAACCAATTAATGGTGTACTTTGAAAAAAAATATAATGTGCAAATAAAAGCACCCCATATTAAGACATATTTTAGATTCAAATAAAATTTACCTAATATATACATCTAGGATATATCTAGATGTGAATCGTGATCAACCCATCTATCGAAAAGAAGCTTCAAAAATTATTTTAAACATATTTTGATCCATGCATATACTTCCAAAATATATCTAGACGTGACCAGCCCATCTCTATTGAAAAGAATAAGACTGAGCAAAAAAATCAAAAAAATTATAAATAGGTGATTCAAAACAAACGGTCCGATTTGACGTGGATTAAATGGTTCATATTAGACTTATTTTTTCTTTGTTTGCTCAGTCGTTGGAATCTAGTCTAGCCAATATCTGGGATGTACTTCTAATATTTAGGCATCTAGTCTAGCCAATATCTGGGATGTCTTTCAATATTTAGGCATTATTTAGAAATAAAATTATTGGCTAAACTACTAATAGATCCTAATAGTTAAACTTAATTCTCATCAAGTCTTATTGAAAATAAGTCTTAGTTAAATTGTTGCTGAATAATTTTTTTTGTGACAATTTTTTACATACATTACTAAAAATTGACAATTAGTGATTTTTTTTTATAATTTTTATAAATTGCCGTTAAAACTTACAATTAATGACTTTTTTTATGACAAATTTTTCACATAGGACCTACTAGACAATAAGTTCACTTATTAAGATCTATACGTAAATACCTTTAAATTATTTTAGTTAGTTATTTAATTTTTTATAAAAAGACATGTAAAAATATTTTTAAAAAAAATAATATAATAAAATATTTTGTTTTATTAACTATTTTGACTTGGGATGAGCTAAACACCTCCTTACTACGTTTTAAGTGATGTACTTCTAATTACTTTTTTAATTTTATTTACATATGCTCCTTTTCTACCCAAAAAAAAAAGAAAAAAATTTCTGAGATGATTAATATTTATTTAAAAATAATAATTAGATAATAGCAAGGAGGAAAAATAAACACAAATGTAAAATTATTTTTTATAAAATAATTTAAAATTTTAACAATAATTAAACCAATAACAAAAATATCAGTATGTATCCGCATTCAATAAATCGGAGTCGCTCAATCCAAACAATGTGGGTGAGTTTTTTTTGTAGATTTTTTAATTGTAAGATATTATTGAAGAAAAAAAAAATTTGCATTTGAGAAGATAGTTTGTTTTTTTGTAGTTAGATATGATGTTTGTGAGAGAAAAAGTGAAATGATTATGAGATTTGATGTGATATTTTGTTTAGATTTATTTTTTTTAATTTTATAACCAATTTGTCTTTTACGCTGTGTTTGGTTGAGAAATTTGGAAAGAGAAAAGGAAAACGTGTGTGAAACTAGGTGAAATATAGGTATGATTTATTCACATTTCACCTTCCTTTTTCATTTTGCTTTCCAAATTTCTTCTTAAATTCCCCAACCAAACACAATATTAATAAATAAATAAAAAAATTCCAAAACGAGCACCATGCAGCAAAGCAACCCACATATTAGCATTTGGAACGTACGAGTCCGAGCGTGAGTGGCAGTCTGAGTCTGATTCCAAGTTCAAATCCGAGTCCAAAGCCTATCTACACGCACAATATAAAAGTGACTGAATTAGAATGAACCACCAATCAACTACATCAACACTCAACTAGTGGGCCTTCCAACACTAAGAAAAAAAAAATTGTGTTTGAGAAGATAATTTGGTTTTTTTGTAGTTAGATATGATGTTTGTGAGAGAAAAAGTGAAATGATTATAAGATTTGATGTAATATTTTGTTTAGATGTATTTTTTTTAATTTTATAACCAATTTATCTTTTACGCTATGTTTGGTTGAGAGATTTAGAGAGAAATTTGGAAAGAGAAAGGGAAAATGTGTATGAAACTAGGTGAAATATAAGTATGATTTATTCACATTTCACCTTTCTTTTCCATTGCTCTTTCTAAATCTCTTCTTAAATTTCCCAACCAAACACAATATTAATAAATAAATAAAAAAATTCCAAAACCAGCACCATGCAGCAAAGCATCCCACATATTAGCATTTGGAACGTACGAGTCCGAGCGTGAGTGGCAGTCTGAGTCTGATTCCAAGTTCAAATCCGAGTCCAAAGCCTATCTACACGCACAATATAAAAGTGACTGAATTAGAATGAACCACCAATCAACTACATCAACACTCAACTAGTGGGCCTTCCAACACTGTTAACTACCATTCAACTTACCCTTTACATCCCCCCTATAACATGTCTCACCTATCTCTCCATCTTCCTTCAACACCAACCACCTCTCTCTCTCTCTCTCTCTCTCTTCAATGGAGGCCTCATGGGAAGCCAGCGTCACCGATTCAATCAACACCATATACCTCCTTTTCTCCGCCTACCTAGTCTTCGTAATGCAGCTCGGCTTCGCCATGCTCTGTGCCGGCTCTGTCCGAGCCAAGAACGCCATGAACATAATGCTCACCAACGTTGTTGACGCCGTTGTCGGCAGCATCTCCTACTACCTCTTCGGCTTCGCTTTCGCTTTCGGCGACGGCTCCAGTTCCAACCCATTCATTGGCACTGAATTTTTTGCTCTCAAAGACATCCCCAATAGTTCATATGACTACAGTTACTTTCTCTACCAATGGGCTTTCGCTATCGCTGTCTCTGGCATCACTAGCGGCTCGATAGCCGAGCGAACCCAGTTCAGCGCCTACCTCGTTTTCTCATTTTTTTTAACGGGGTTCGTTTACCCGGTGGTGGTTCACTGGGTTTGGTCATCGAGTGGCTGGCTTAGTCCGAGCTCAACTAGTTTGATTTTTAGTTCGGGTGCAATTGACTTTGCTGGGAGTGGAGTGGTGCATTTAGTGGGTGGAATTGCTGGGCTTTGGGGCTCATTGATAGAAGGCCCAAGGGTGGGCCGGTTCGATGCCTTTGGCAAGCCCGTGCCAATGCGAGGCCACAATGCAACTCTTGTGGTGCTAGGGACCTTCTTGTTGTGGTTTGGGTGGTTCGGGTTCAATCCAGGTTCGTTCGACAAAATTCTTGTTGCGTACCCTGACACATCCAATCAAGGAAACTGGACCGGAATTGGCCGAACAGCGGTCACGACCGCACTTGCCGGTTCAACAGCCGGACTCGTAACACTATTCGGCCGACGGTTACTAGTGGGCCACTGGGATGCATTAGATGTGTGCAATGGGCTTCTTGGTGGGTTTGTCGCGATCACATCAGGCTGCGCAGTGGTGGAACCATGGGCTGCCATTGTATGCGGGTTTTTTTCGGCGTGGGTATTGATTGGGCTGAATATCTTGGCCCTGAAACTGAAATTTGATGACCCCTTAGAGGCAACCCAATTACATGGTGGGTGTGGGGCTTGGGGTCTGCTTTTTACAGGCCTGTTTGCAAAAGAGGAATTCATTGTTCAGGCCTATAATTCGGGTGAGACTGGAGTGGTTCGACCCTATGGGCTTTTATTGGGTGGGGGATGGGGCCTACTAGGAGCCCAAGTGATTGAGGTATTGGTTATTGTGGGCTGGGTTAGTATAACAATGGGCCCACTTTTCTATGCACTACACAGGCTCGAGATTTTGAGGATATCTGTTGATGAGGAAGTTGCAGGGCTTGACATCTCTAGCCATGGAGGTTATGCCTATACTGCTCATCCAGAGGACACCCCACGCTATTATGCTGATTACATGAGGCTGCAAAACCAATGATGATTCAACCCTTCTCTCTCTCTCTCTCTCTCTCTCTCTCATTTTTTATTATTTTCATTATTGTCATTTTGTGAAGTTCAAAATTCTTGAATTTGATTTTTTTTTTGTTTTTTTGAGAAAGTAGGTTGTAACTCTAAGGTGTGCAATAAAATTTCATTGATCATTTTTTTAATATTGTCATTATTACCACCTTCAATGCATCTTTTTTTTGTTCATTAGATAATAACTCAGTTCATATATTTTTTTAATTTGTAATTGATAAAAATACTATGTAAACAATATCATAAAAATACTTAATAGTCAAGATTATCTAACAATTTTGCTTGCTGAATAACTCAGTTGATCAAAACCTTACATCTATTAGAAGATCAAGTCAACGATTCAAAACTTGTGGCAAATCCAAGCTAGGGATTAGATGTTACCCACCAAAAAAAAAAAAACGGCGCTGCTTGAGGGCCCGAATTTCGGGGGTCGAATGCCCCGAAATTTCCCCTTTAGGTAAAAAAAAAAAAAAAAAAAAAAGGAAAAAAGAAAGAAAAAAAGAAAACAGTTTCTAAAAATGAAAATTAGGGGCATTAGGGGCAAATTTTTTAGGGCCACCAATCATTTTCCAAAAAAAAAATACTAGATACTTTTGTTCATGATTTCGACATATACTGAGTCATAGTATTTCATCATGACTAAACTATCATCTTGAAAGCAACAGATACCATCTTATCCAAAATTGGACTTGCCACATCATCTTGAAAGGAATATATATACATCTTATTACTACAGATTTAGGATTATATTGAGAAGTTAATTAAAAGCTATTTTGTTGACTTTTTAGATATATTTTTAAAAAAATATAAAAAAATAAATAAAAAGGTGATACAACTTAAAATAAATTAAAAGTTTAAAAGTCACTTTTAGATCAAACATATACAACAACTCATCTTGATGTGATGAGTTCATGCATCCCCTTCTTTTTTTCCTTTTTTTTCCTTTTAAAAAAAAATTAAATACATGTCAAATAGAGTACTAATTGTGAAAAATGATAATTATATCCAACCGTGTATCATTTATTTCACTAAATTTGAGTAAAATTTTCATATGGTATTCAACACTTCAACGAAGCAGAGTTTTGGCTGTCATCAACCCATAAGTCAATTGGGAGGACGATCGACTGGTTTACTGGTAAGAGCAATCCCTCACTTCCTAGAGTATGCTTTGCTATGAAAAGTTTTCAAGTAACTGAATAACCAAGGGGACAACCAGTCGGACATCTGGCTCGTTGTCCAGTTCTGCAAAACCAACGGTACCAAACAGGGAAATGCTAAATGCTCCTAGATGTCTTTTATTTGGTGAAACATTTTTGATATTCTTGATTTGATATCATTTTGATTTTTGTTATTCTCAATTTGATACTGTTTTGATGAAACTATTGGAGTTGAAAAAAGACACATTTTTCATCAAATTCAAATTTAATGATGAATTTGATACACGATTGGACAGTCTTAGCCTATGTTTGGATAGTGGATTTTGAAGCTTTTTTTGGCTAAAATAACCACAAAAAACAAAATAGATTTTTTAACCCAGTAAGACAAAACATCACATCTAATCCATAATCATTACATTCTTTCTCTCACAAAAAAATTAAAAAAATCAAAAAAAATAAAAAATCTTTCCAAAATCAAACTTTTTAACCTCAGGTTAAATTTAGTTAAAAAAAATTAAAAAGCTAAAAAACTAACTCACTGTCCAAACGAAGCCTTATTAATTATATTTTACTATTTTATTTTCTCTCTCATGTCCATCAATGCAAATTGCATACTAGTTTTAACATTTTGATAAAATATTTTAATAATATATAACAGTCCTCGTGTCTTTGAACTCAACAAAATCCAAGGAAAAAATATTACGTCAATAGGAAGAAAATTAAAAGTTAATTTTTTAACTTTTTCAAATTTTTTACTATTTCATGAGAAGGGATATGACTTAGGTCAAGTTTGACAAGTTTAAAAAAAGTCAAAAAGTTACTCAAAAAGTTAAAAAGTTATCTCTCTTCATCAAAAGTCAAAAATTATGACTGCACAACTCTCAATCTTAATTTTTCCATACACACTAATTTATACAATTTTTTAATACACATGTTTCCATAAAAAGTCAAAAAATTAACCGAAATATTCATATTTTTTTTCTCAATTTTTTAGTCCAAAAAGATAAAAAATACACTTATTTAGGACACCCCAAACAACCCCTTAATATGAATTAAAAGTATACTTTTAACTTTTTTTTTTTTTTTTGGTTAAGTGGATAGCCAAAACACCCGTAAGTGTAATATCTAAAGCTGCGACAAATGGTGAGCTCCTACGTCGGAGTATTAGAACTATGGTACACATTTGAGTCAAATAAGGCTGCAAGAATAAAAGAAGAGCAACAAGTAAAACCTGAAACATATTTATATTGATAAGAACGATCCAGAGATCAACGGAATATTGAATCCCACCAATACAAAAGCTAGCAGGGATTTACAGTTGTTAACTGTTTATATACAAGCGGGTTTCCATTAGCAGGATGATTACAGAGCAATAATTCCTCACCTCAGATGAGAATCATAGGGAGCAAACACGGTATCTGGAATAACAAGAGGCAACTTTTCTATGTACATAAATAGCCTGTGTAAGTTCTCTCTCAAGATTATCGATAAATCAATAGTTTCACTGTTGTTGGTACAAATCCAAAGGTCACCTGAGTTCACCCGTTTAAGGCTGTCCCGGCAAAAGGGGCATGATTGAGATCGTCCACGCCTGAGGCAAGCAAAAAAAAACACAGAAGGTCCAAAGTAAATATTTACAAAAGGAAATGCAAGAACTGTTCCTGCAGAATAGCAGAAGGAAAATTCTGAACATACATAAAATTCATACAAAAAATTGACAAAAATGATGTGACAATGCCATTATTGTAAATAAATCTGTCTTTAATGGTGTTTTGTTTTGAAGTGAAAGATACATAATAAACCATATTATTGTATATGGATTTTGTTTGTATAACACTACTCATAGCAGAAAAATATATGGTTTGACAGTATCAGAATATGATTCCCCATCTTGTACTATGACGGGATAACCATACGGGTGTGTTTGTTTTGAAGGATTAGGGGGTGGGATTGGACTATTAGTCTCACCAGATGAATAGTCCATTGTTTGTTTCATTTTTTTTGCTCCGGACTAATAGTCCCCCCGGACTATTAGTCCCACAAACATGGGACTATCCTATCCCATGGGGGAGGGTGGGATAGAAACCATGGGATTGGTATCCTATAGGATTATTTTGTGAAATGTTCATTTTACCCTCCATGTTATTACTAAGCAAACAATTAGAAAAGGATAAAATATTTTTTTGAACATTTATAAATTATTTTTTTAGTGTTATTAATTTAAAACTATATATTAAATAAAAAATTTTAATTATAAATTATAAATTATAAATTTCATTTAATTAAAAATAATAAATTATAAATTATGGCCTTATAAATTAAATTTAGAAAAATAAAAAAGGTAAGTGAAATGTGAATAAATCATGCCTATATTTCACATAGTTTCACACACCTTTTCACTTTCCCTTTCCCTTTCCAAATTCCTTCCCAAATTTCTCAACCAAACACAGTATAAGTGTAATATCTAAAGCTGCGACAAATGGTGAGCTCCTACATCGGAGTATTGGAACTATGGTACACATTTGAGTCAAATAAGGCTGCAAGAATAAAAGAAGAGCAACAAGTAAAACCTGAAACATATTTATATTGATAAGAACGATCCAGAGATCAACGGAATATTGAATCCCACCAATACAAAAGCTAGCAGGGATTTACAGTTGTTAACTGTTTATATACAAGCGGGTTTCCATTAGCAGGATGATTACAGAGCAATAATTCCTCACCTCAGATGAGAATCATAGGGAGCAAACACGGTATCTGGAATAACAAGAGGCAACTTTTCTATGAACATAAATAGCCTGTGTAAGTTCTCTCTCAAGATTATCGATAAATCAATAGTTTCACCGTTGTTGGTACAAATCCAAAGGTCACTTGAGTTCACCCGTTTAAGGCTGTCCCGGCAAAAAGGGCATGATTGAGATCGTCCACGCCTGAGGCAAGCAACAAAAAACACAGAAGGTCCAAAGTAAACATTTACAAAAGGAAATGCAAGAACTGTTCCTGCAGAATAATTGACAAAAATGATGTGACAATGCCATTATTGTAAATAAATTTATCTTTAATGGTGTTTTGTTTTGGAATGAAAGATCCATAATAAACCATATTATTGTATATGGATTTTGTTTGTATAACACTACTCATAGCAGAAAAATACATGGTTTGACAGTATCAGAATATGATTCCCCATCTTGTACTATGACGGGATAACCAAACGTGTAACAGTCAAACACACTTGGGATCCTAGTTACCATGGAATAGTGAAGACACTTCTCTTTACACATTTTCTTTTAGAATTGCTTTCCATACATCAAACTCAATCAAAGAAAGATTATAAGTGGGCGCCAAAATGAGGGTACCAATTAGTTTGTCCAACTCAATCAATGTGCCACCAATATACAGCAATAAGTGGTCACAAATGATTTAAATATAAAAAAAAAACTTCTCATGGTCAATGAGCCAAGAGGTAATGGCAGGGGTGGGCAGAGTTTTTAAGAGTTCTGTTCCTAGAGTTGCAGAAAACCGAGAACAGGACTGAAATTTCGTCTGATTTGTTGTTCACAGCATCTCTTTTTCGAAAATTGAGTTAAAAATAAGTAATTTTCAGCATACACTGGAATGTTTAGTTTCAGTTCTTTATTTTTTGTTTGTGGCTAGGGATACAACCTTGACAGTTATTAAAAAACATGCTTCAGAAAACTGATTTCTGAGGAGTGTTAAAAAAGTCCGATACCTTTTGTTTTCCTATCCTAATAAAATGCTAGAGAAGTTTCAAACGAACAAAATAGGGAACTTACCAATCCCGATAGCACTTCATGCACAATGAATGGCTGCAATTAGGCAACACGACCTTGCTATTCATTTCCATGCAAATCCCACACTCCCCTTCTCTCTCAATATCGGCTTCAGTGAGTTTTCCCTTGTCTAAATCATCCTTTCTAGAGTACCTGAGTGAGCATATCTCTTTCTGTTTTCTATCTTCCAAATCAGTTATCCCACTTTGAAGTTGCAATACAGAAGGAAATATAACAGCTGTTCATAGAGAGATGAACATGTAAACACATACTAATGTAATATTGAGTATACCTATTTTCTGAATAAAATCACATTTTAGACGATGGTGGTGCTAAATCTATTATTTCAAAACATCAATCAAAAAAGAAAAAGAGAAGTAAACGAAAAAAATACAATGGTAAATCTTTGATATTGTAAAGAAAAAATCACTTTCTCATATCTTACCATAAAATTCTCTGATGCTAGCTTTTCTTTCTTGAACAGACATAGTGGTTTTTCCATCTGCATACGTCTGCATTGTGCCACACCCCAACAAAAAATAAGTAATATTGGAATTACTTTATTGTTGAAGAGGACAGAGTTCTTAAGTAATTACAGAAAGAACAATAAGGACAGTTAAGAAAGGAAAGGTAGGTGCTTCAACAGCCAAGCAAACAAATGTATGGACAAAGACTAGCAATACAGTTAAGTGTATAAGGTAAAGGAATTTACCGTATAAATAAGAACTCGGAGCAACCCAAGGGCACCAGCAAGGTGACAATCAGCCCACTGAACAAAAAATAGACATAAGTTCGCAACTGGACTATAAGACAGTCTAATTTGAAGGCATGCTCCATCTTTCTCCCTTGGATAACCTAAAGCCCTGCAAAAAGAAATAAGAAATAAGAAGGCGGAGAACGCAGGATAAACAATATTCAGAAAAGTTCATATCATAAGAATAATATATACTCTCTTTATTGTGCATTACTTTTAGTTATTCTGGTTTGTTCCTTGTAGTATAACATGCTAATACTGTGTTTGGTAAGGGGATTTGGAAAGAAATTTAGAAAATGAAAGAAAAAAAGTATGTGAAACTATATTTTATTTATATTTCACCTAACTTTTCCCTTTATCGTTCCAAATCCCTTTCCAAATCTCCCAACCAAATACAGCGTAAGGGTTAACTGACTTGACAACAAGTACAAGTTCATATCATTAGAATAGCAAAATGATTGACATTACTAAAAAAGACCCAAAAGGTTATAAAAAAGAAGCAATGAAGGTAGTAAGGTGTTTGTAGAGTGCATTTAAAAAATATGTATATATAATGTTCTGTTATGTGGGTATTGCAGTTCTTCTGCTTGAAAAAACCAACATTCATTTACTTCACAATTGGCTAGTGCAAATTTACATAGTAGGAACAGGCAGTCATCAACAGTGTAGAAACAATTTGTAAACCGCAATGCGGCTACACATTTATACACAGGCACTGATTCTAGGTCTAATTACCAACCCTTATGAAGACACAAAATCCCCAAATAATCTGCTAAAAGACAACTAGGGTTCAACCATCTCCTAAAACATGATAAAAACTTATCCTGTTGATGGAAATAAGTTCATGCATCACTCAATATCAGTAAAACTAGAGTTTGACTCTGACATTATTTCCAGAGCATGTAACTCACATGGCCAGTGAAATTGTTTTAAAATTATTTTGCTACTTAAAATGTACTTTTGGCAAGCACCTTGATGTGCAACAATTGTTAAAAATTGTAACATTATTTATAAAGGCACTTATTCATAAATCCCTCTTCATCTAATTATGTTCCACCTAATCCAAATTATTTTCTTGTGGTCCAATAACATAGGTTCTAGACAGATTGTGATGTGAACATTCACACAGACTGTGAATATTATGATTTGAAAATTGGTACTTGAAAAGGAATTTCCTAATAAATCTCCCTATTTATAATGATTTGAAAATTTTTCTCTTTAAAGTAGCTTGTTTTAAAAAATGATTTTGGAAGTAGCGATGAATTCACACAGATATAAACTAAATTGGTGGAATTCAATGCACTATAATACTGATCAAACAAGCTAAACAGACAAATTGCCATGCCAAACCGATCGTTTTAAACACAACCATGACATTCAAAATTCAAAGCAAAATCAATCAATTAATCAGAGAGAGAGAGAGAGAGAGAGATACAGAGTGTTGGCGTGCTGAATATCTGCTTCGAGAGCTTTAAGAGAATCCTTGAATGACTTTCTCATTGCCTTGATTTTCTCGGAAAATAATTCCCATCCAACAACAAGGAAAAGAAAAAATGAACAAAAACACAATCAATCACCGTTGTCGTGAAAACAGAGCCCCTTCCTCCGCGTAGGTTTTCTCTCACAACGACTGAGCCGCTCTCTCAGACTTCTTATATACTAGTAGTCCGCTCCGCTCCACTTCCATTATTATTATTATTATATTGTTATATTATTAGTGTTTATCCGAAAACTTTTTAAATTTTCATTTTTTTTTCAATGTCTGATTAAATCCTCTGCGGCCGAGCTTATTTTACTTTGTGTGCGCTCCTTGAAAAGGGGACACGTGGGCTAAATGCCAGCCCCGATGTCGATAATTCAACCACAATAGGTTATTGTGGGGGTACCATAGAGGATGAAAGCCCCGACAAAAATCAGATGGCGCCGCACCGTGGTTTTGAGAATTGGCCGCCATGTCATAGTTCTGCCAAACTTCTTTATGTTATCCTACTTTTCTTCTTGTGACAAGTGGCAAGACTAAGGTTTGGTTTGAGAATTATTTTTTTTTAGGTAAGTTTGGCATCTTTCAAAAAAATTTAAAAAGTCAAAAAGTCACTATCCTATTTAAGTCACATCATCTTATTTAAGTCACATCACCTCTCTAACACATCACTTCAAACCCAACCCAAATCCAACCCATATTTCATAAAAAGTCAAAAAGTACACTTATTTAGTCTTCCCAAACTTGGCCTTAGTTAAAAAGTTAAAAAGTTATTAAATTAGTTAAAAAGTTAAAAATTCATACTAAAAAGTTAAAGATTCTCTTTTCTTTTTACTTTTTACACATCTTTTGGTAAAAAATTAAAAAGTCATCCCAAACATACTAGTTTTTTTTAGCTCATATTTTAGCTAAATAGCCAAAAAGTTACTAAATTAGCCTGTTCTCAAACGAGGCCTAAAGATTTGTTTGAGCCTCCGTTTGGGAAGTGGATTGGCTTATTGATTATTTGGTTTTTTGACTATTTTAATTTGGGGCTAAAAAGTCTGGTTTAAGAAGGGTTTTTTGACTTTTTTTTGTGAGAGAGGAGTGTAATGATTATGGGTTGAATTTGATATTTTATTTTTTGTGGCTAAAATAACCTATTTTATTTTTTGTGACTATTTTAGCCCCTAACCCACCAAAATCAACTTCCCAAACTATGCTGAATATTTTATGAAATAGGTATTTTAAAATGGATTTTTCTAAGGAGAAATAATAGTTGAATTTTAAAGCTTATAAATTTTAATTTTTAAAATCATAATTTTTTTTCTTGTGTAGGTAATTATCTTTAGAAGATACATCTAATTTGTAATTTTTTTTTATTTATTCGATAGTGTTATAAATAGAAATTTTAGAAATAACAACGAATAGGCTCGACTGGTCTCCACTGCCAAATCGATCTGGAAAGGTATTGTTGGACCTATTAGGTTCACTTTTAGATCTCATTTTGATAATTTGAACTATTTATATTTTTGAATTTATCGAATATATTATTCCTGCAAAAAATTAAGTTGATAAAAAACAACAAGAATAACGTGTTCGGGTCAATTTTGTATTAAAAAAATGATCGAGAAGAAAATAAAAAGTTCATATAAAATTGATTTGAATACATAATTTTTATTACCTGATTGATTTGATACTTTGCAAGTATAATATAATAAACGAATCTTAAAATATAAATTGTTCGAATTATAGAAACGGACCCCACATACAAATCCACTAAGCCGAATTAAATGGTACAATCCAATTTGGACCGCAGACTGTCCAAGTTCAAAAGAACAAAACAAACAAGCACTTAAGAATTACGTGGTTCATAGGCGAAGGATGACATAAAAATTCACGAATTATGAATTAATTCTCTCATGTCAGTCATAAATTCCCAATGAAAAATGCTTGGGAGCACTAGAAATGAAGCACTAGAAGGACCACTAATGATGTGGAAGTGGGCCCCGCCTACTTTCTATGCCTTATTTCTTTTTTTTTTCTTTTTTTTACCAATCCCAATGCATTAGTGCTATTAGTGGTGTATTTTTTAGTGGTCTAAATCATTGTTGATTCCCAATTAAACCAACCAAAAAAATAAATAAATGATAAAGTGGTTACTTCAACTGGGGGATGCGTCGGACCGATCCAGGCTTCTAATCAGTCTTTTGGTCTCGACCTTCACAAAGCGTGCTTGCAAAACAGTCCAAGGGAGGAGATAGTCCCCGGGTGGACACTCCGACAATCAAGTTAAATGAGAGAGAGAATGTAACTAGGGATAAAAAAAACTTAACCTCGACATATCTCTAAGACTTTCTTATACTCGTTGCTCATCATTTCTTTATCCATTCCAAGCTGTCCTGTTGGTCGAAAGTCTATAGTCTAATTAACATCGTTCATGGTGAGTCTGTATCTTTCGGCGTGGAAGGGTTGCTGCATTTAATGCTATGAGGGCCTTTATTAATAGCTGATGTGTGGGTGCAACAACTTTACAGAATCTTTGTCTATTTTCGTGGCTGATTTTCTGCCTGACAAGTGTTTAAATGCTATAGGTCCTAGTTCAATATTGGTTTCTCAAGGATACTGGGCTTTGGTATCTGGGCCTTGAGTTGGGCGCTGGGCCCTCTTGAGGCCCATTAGTATAAATAAAAATCAATTAGTGTGTTCATGAATCGATTTGATTCGGTTTAATATTAAATTTAAAACCAATCCAATGATGATCGATTTTAAAATTTTGAACCTAGAATCAAACCAATTATACATTAGAACCAACCAAACCTAACCCAATCTAATGCAAACCCGAGTTGGTTCAGGTTAAAATCACAATTCCACTGTATATAAATAGAAATGAATCATTTAATAATAAATAATTAAAATAAACAAGTTTTTAATATTTAAACATAACACAAACAAAGATAAATATTGTTTAATGCAAGTCAATATAAATTAAATCCAACTCAAACTTAAACATAACCAATACGAATTAAATTAAATGAACTACGAAATCCAACTCAAGCTTATAGTACTTCATTCGTTAACCTAATAATTTTTGTATGTGAAAATTATTAAGTACAATCAAGTACATTGTAATAGTCTAATTAGGTGAAGATGTGTTAATATAAATAAAATTTTAAAATTCATATATATATATATATATTCGGTTTTCGGATTGGTTCGGTTTAGACAAGGACTAAACTAAGAACTAACTTAGGGTTGGTTTGGCAAGGGCTCATTGGGTTTTTTTGGCTCAATGAGCCATAAAAGACAGAATAGGCTCATGAGTCACAATAGACAAAACATCCCATCCAACCCCATAATCATTACACTCTTCTCTCACAAAAAAAAAATCAAAAAAGCCAAAAAGCCAAAAGCCCTTCCCAAACTAAGCTTTTGAGCCTAGGCTCATATAGTCAAAAAAGTCAAAAAGCCAAAAAGTCAATCCACTTCCCAAACGAAGGCTTAATCTTATCGGTTTGATATTTGAAGATCCAAATGCATTAAAAAACCAAACCAAACCAAACCAAACTAACTCAAAAAAATCGATTTGAGTTGATTTTTCGATTCATTGATAATTTGAACACCTTAAGGTCATTCATATGTTACAGAAGTTGTTGAGACCTAAAATTCTAGAATTTTGAAAAAATGATCTGAATAAAACAAATTATGTCAAAATATATTTAAATGCAAATATTGAGTTGAATTCGAAATAAACTCACAACAACAAATAGGGATTGAGGGATTTAATATATGGGATTTGAGCTGGATGGATTTGGAAATTAAAAAAAAAAAACTATTTTAAAATTCTTTAAAATGTCTAAATTTTCATAGAATTGACATGATGGTAGCAACTTTTTAATATTATCATATTTATCTTTTAAAAAAATGATTATAAAAATGATTTGGAAACTAAACCAATCAATATTGTTGCAGTAGTGCAAATGTGGGGGAAGAAAAAAAGAGATTTAAAATGCAGCAATAAAGATTGTGGATTTAGTTTCTTATTAATTCTTTATGAAAAATATTATTAAAAAGAATTAAATTTTAATAGTAACAAACATCATGAGAAAATCTCATGGTTAATGAGGCTACAAATTAGAGCAATGCACAATTGATCACACTCTTCATGCCCAGCCAATAAGGGAGCCAAAACTTATTAAATTTGTCATCATTTTGTAACCTCTAGACTGAGAAAATTATAAGTGAAATTTATTTCAACCACAGCCAACAAAGACAGTTGATAATTAATGAAATGAAAAACTTAGGACATAGGAGAAGAATTAGTTTCCCTAATAAGAAATGGATTATCCTAAAAGTATAATTTTCTATCCCTCCAACTTATTTAGTGCACTTTTAAAGTCTGATTAATGCCAATCAGTACTCAAAAAAAATCATGTGGGTGTCTCAGTGTTTTAGGACTCAAGTTCAATGAACTATCACCTTATCTCTAAATTAAATTTTTTTTTTTTTAAAAAAAAGGGTCTTATAAAAACAAAAAATAAAAAGTCAAAAAACTCGACTTCAAATATCTTACATCACCCTAAACTAAGCATACTTTTTAAAGCAAATTATTGTCATAATGTCATATGATATGAGACAGTAGCCTCCTAAAAAACTATATTGAAGACCTGGTTGTTACATATTTAAAAAACTGAGTTGGAATGTCAAGGGTCGGTGGTAGAGAGGGAAGAAGAAACATGGCCAAACAGTCAACCACATGAATTTGCATCCTCTAAAATTTTCATAGCCTTGACCCCATTTTGGGATGGGCTTCTATGAAGTGGAGGTGCTGTTGGGCCTTGTGGAGTCTACTATATATCCAATTTCGATAATCTAAATTATTTATTTTGTTTGAGATGAAGTGAGGTCCCCAACATTGCCTCAAAAGCAGCCATAATTCAAGATACATAAGTCACATATAATACTCACCATGATGACTATAGTTGTACATAATTGCTTCCCTGAAGACACCTCATCCTCTTGGACCATGTGAGTGACAATATATCAAACACATCATCACAAAACCATTATCGTCGGTTCATAGTTTAAGAGGTGTTTTGAAAAAATAGTTAAAAGTTGACATTTTAATTAATTTATTTATTTTTTTGCCTTTTGACTTTTTTTTGTGAGAAAAGAAGTAGATTAAAAGTTGG